TACACTGCTAAATTAGGGACGGCTAACGCAGATAGCCCTCGTGTAGCTTTGCGCGAAATTAAAAAATACAATACAAATACATACAATAACCTACAAGAAGAGTATAGCATGCTACAGGGAAACACTACAAGGAACTACTTTATTTCTAACAAACTTTACAGGTCTTTGTAACATGACACTACAAGGAACTACTTTATTTCTAACAAACATTACAGGTCTTTGTAACATGACACTACAAGGAACTACTTTATTTCTAACAAACATTACAAGTCTTTGTAACATGACACTACAAGGAACAACTTTATTTCTTTCTAACAAACTTTACAGGTCTTTGTAACATGACACTACAAGGAACTACTTTATTTCTTTCTAACAAACTTTACAGGTTTTTGTAACATGACACTACAAGGAACTACTTTATTTCTTTCTAACAAACTTTACAGGTCTTTGTAATATGACACTACAAGGAACTACTTTATTTCTAACAAACTTTACAGGTCTTTGTAACATGACACTACAAGGAACTACTTTATTTCTTTCTAACAAACTTTACATGTCTTTGTAACATGACACTACAAGGAACAACTTTATTTCTTTCTAACAAACTTTACAGGTCTCTGTAACATGACACTACAAGGAACTACTTTATTTCTAACAAACATTACAAGTCTTTGTAACAGACCTGTAAAGTTTGTTAGAAATAAAGTAGTTTCTTGTAGTGTCATGTTACAAAGACCTGTAATGTTTGTTAGAAAGAAAGTAGTTCCTTGTAGTGTCATGTTACAAAGACCTGTAAAGTTTGTTAGAAATAAAGTAGTTCCTTGTAGTGTCATTTGTAACATGACACTACAAGGAACTATTTTTTTTTCTAACAAACTTTACAGGTCTTTGTAACATGACACTACAAGGAACTACTTTATTTCCTAAAACGTTTTACAGGTCTCTGTAATGTGAGCTCGCTGTCATCTGTAAAGAACCCTTTTGACAAGCTGTGGATGGACAGAGAAGATGACCGTGTGATTCTCGGTCCTTCAGCCATGTTTCGACATGCATATCTCGATTCACTGAAAGGTGATGTGGTATGTGAACGTTTCGATTTAAAGTTAATTCCGTAGCAGACACAACATTATTATCTTGCGTTATACAGTGTTATACCTTGCGTTATACAGTGTTATACCTTGCGTTATACAGTGAGATATAAATAAGTTAATAGTTCTACTTCTTTACATTACATCAATTGTGTATAGGCGATCAGTTAACAATGATGGAAATTAATATAAAAAATACAAAACCAAGATGTCAGGTATCATATTCTAATCTATAAAGAAGAAAAATATGGACGTTGTCATTGTTTATTTAATCACGGCGGAAAATGTCAAGGACTAGTAATGAACAAGATTTTCGTGTTTTTTTTAGGCTATAATCTCATGACTTATATCTAGGTTTGTTTTATATAAACATCTGCTTCTAGTGGATTAGTCTTTATCGAAGTCTTTCACATTTTCTTAAAGGATTATATGGGAAAAGAAAATCTTTATGGTGTAAGAGACATGATCGCCGATAGATGGAGACAGTGTCCTAATTCAAATACTCAAGTAGACTTCTATTTTCTAGGTAAGTAATTTAGATACAGTTTAATTCCTATAGAGATACAATAAACGAGTTTTCCTTCATCCTAGGGTCGAGAGTGGCCTAGTATTTAGAGTGACGAGCTATAGATCTACGGGTTCAAGGTTCACCTCCCGTTCTTACAAAAAAAAAAAAATATCGCGTTCTACGTTTTGAAATCGTCATTGCGTTACAAGAGGAACAGTCAATGGCCACTATTCGGCCATACAAGAGTAGCTTAGTCTTTAGTAGTTGATACTTTTGACCAGCTGTCTTCCCTCTGAGTTATGGACGGCCTAACACAAATAGTCATCTAAAGACGTACAAAGTTAAAATCTGTTACTCCTAGTGAACAGCGTAATGTTTTTTTTTTGTGTGTAGCTTTGCATCCAGAAAACAATAACAGGTGCCTGTGTATGTGTTTTTGTCCCCCAGGGATCAGCGGTAAGATTAGGGACTTACAACGCTAAAATCTGGGGATCGATTCCTCCGAAGTAGACAGAGTGTAGAGACCGCACTGTGGAATCAACATCAACTGCCCATGTGTTTTGTCCCGCTGGGGGTCAGTGGTATGTTTAAGAACGTAAAACGAAATAATTCGGGGTTCGATTCTCTGCGGTGAAAGAAGAACCCATTATGTAGCTTTGCATTAAAATAGCAACAACAACTGAAACTCTTAAAGATCCCCTTAATGGAATCTCTAATTAATACCTAATAACGTTTATAATTCAACATATATAAACCAGAGGGCGCTCAGTAGAGCGCATACTGCTGCCACGCAGCGTTGACCATATTCGTCCCTAACACAAAATACGAAAATGTGTCTGTATGGCCGTCGTTATCAACGAAAACGGACCATATTTGGCAGGACAATGAGGAATAATATTCTACATATATCCACCAAGTGTCATCAAAATTCGATATTTTTTTACTGGGTTATAGAGCAAAAATAGTGTGAAAAAAATCGGTCTTCATGTTAACAGACAGGGATTTTCTTGACCTTTGCCCTCCAAAAACTAATCACTTCTAAGTTGGGTCATAGTCCAAATGTATACAAACTTTCGGCCAAATCCAATCAGCCGTTTTCGAGAAATCTTGCTGACAAACATACAAACAAACACATACACACAGGAGTGGAAACATAACCTCCGTCACCAGCGGTGGCACTAATAACAACAGCCAATACTACCATATTAGTGGCGCCCTCTCGTGAGTTCTATAGTTAAACGGACAGGTATGCCACTAATAACAAAAGCCAATACTACCATATTAGTGGCGCCCTCTCGTGAGTTCTATAGTTAAACGGACAGGTATGCCACTAATAACAACAGCCAATACTACCTAATTAGTGGCGCCCTCTCGTGAGTTCTATATTTAAATGGACAGGTATGCTTGGGCTTCTAACCAGCATGTCTGTATTAGAATACATTTTTATAGTTACAAATATCTGTAAGATAAAATTATGATAACCTATTTTTACGACACAGTATTTGATTTTATCATCTCCAGGACCTTTACTTGACCATATTTTTTTTTGACAGACCCTAAATGGAACAACCATCTGAACGACAAGAATCTTCCGATACCACTTCGAGTGACTCTTCAAACTGAAAAAGGTGGAAAAATATCCACAATACAATTTGAATTTCTAAAGTTTATCCCGTTTGTTGAAAACCTGGATGAAACATTTCTGGTAATAATGGATTGATAACGTATGAAAACAGCACGTGTTACTCTAAACACTAGAAAAAGTAAAAGAGTTATAAAAGGAGTAAAATGTTTCTAAAAAAGAGTAAAATGTTTCTAAAAAGAGTAAAATATTTTATAAAAAGAGTAAAACGTTTTCTAAAGAGAGTAAAATATCTTATAAAAGGAGTAAAAGGTTTCTAAAAAGAGTAAAATATTTTATAAAAGAAGTAAAACGTTCACTAAAAAAGTAAAATATTTTATAAAAGGAGTAAAAACGTTTTCTAAAAAGAGTGAAATGTTTCTAAAAAGAGTAAAATGTTTCTAAACAAAGTAAAATGTTTCTAAAAAGAGTAAAATATTTTATAAAAGGAGTAAAACGTTTTCTAAAGAGAGTAAAATATCTTATAAAAGGAGTAAAACGTTTTCTAAAAAGAGTAAAATGTTTCTAAAAAGAGTGAAATGTTTCTAAAAAGAGTAAAATGTTTCTAAAAAGAGTAAAATATTTTATAAAAAAGAGTAAAACGTTTTCTAAAAAGAGTAAAATATTTTATAAAAGGAGTAAAAACGTTTTCTAAAAAGAGTAAAATGTTTCTAAAAAGAGTGAAATGTTTCTAAAAAAGAGTAAAATGTTTCTAAAAAGAGTAAAACGTTTTCTAAAGAGAGTAAAATATCTTATAAAAGGAGTAAAACGTTTTCTAAAAAGAGTAAAATGTTTCTAAAAAGAGTGAAATGTTTCTAAAAAAGAGTA